GGGGCCGCTCACCAGAGGTTGGAGCACCTACAGACACACGCTGGGAGTCGATGATGGGATGTTAAGATCCGGGAGAGTCAGTGGAACTGGAACTGTTTCAGGTAGCGACGACTTATCAACGGATACACGGTACTGTGTTTTAGAGCAGCGCCAACAGGACGAATGAAGGAATTACTGGACACGCACCGATCATCCTGGCCAGGGATTGGATGTGGAGAAACATCATTAACACGTGTTGACAACATGGTTCCTGGTTCACAGTTGAACTTACAAACATTAACTAAAGTCTCTGATCCTTCTCCTCTCTATCGCCCCCTGTGTTCCGCTCCTACCCAGATCCTTCTTCCCTCGGCTCCTAACCAGGCCGACGTTCCAAGTGAGCTTCTGTGGGGTTTGTTTATGTCCTCATTTGTTTGCTTGTTTGTTTGTGCTATCGCTCTGCTCTGCAGCTGAGCTAACAAGGCGCCATTTTGCCCGCGCTGCTCCAGCCGTCCAATTAAAGCATGTGATCAGCCAGAACGCTTTAATGATGGCTGTGGTGCTGTAGTTGACCAGCCCACAGTGAGACAGAGAGAGAGAGAGAGAGAGAGAGAGAGAGAGACGGCACGCTGGGAGGTGGTGACTGCAGCGCACCAGTGTTGTGGCTCAGTGGCTCCGCTGCAGACAGGGTAAAATTAACCTTCCTCTCTCTTTGTCAGGAGAGGAGAGAGAGACTGTTAGTCCTCCAGCACGCCGCTGCAGTCCCCGGTTAAAGACTGCTGCTTTGTTTCAAAGAGGACTGAATATTTACAAGGTAAAATGTACTCGGATATTTAAGTACTACTAGGTGGAGACGCATACTCACTAACGAGCGTTTTCTTAGGTCGTTGGATGTAAACATTTAGGGTTTGCACTGATGTTAGGGTAATCCGATAATATCAGTCGGACGATATTATTGGATTACCCTAATATCGGTCGGCCGATATTAGCTCAATTATGTAATTATATCGGTAAGAATCGTTAACGTTTTTTTCCCTCCGAAATAGAAAACCCGATAACACAATACCTGAGTTTCACGCCAAATGACCTACAAATAGTTTTGGGGAAAGACGGCTGTATATGAGAGTGAAAGCCACTAGATGGCAGCATTGCAGCTCATTTTATTCATCTATTTTAATAATCAGAAGATCGTATGCTGAATTCTCAGACAGTGGTTTGTACAGATAAATAAATCAATATCACCAGCTCCGTATCGGTTGATATCGGAATCGGAAAATTAAGAGTTTGGACAATATCCGCAAAAAAACGCAGAACGCGAAAAATATTTCTCAAGCACACGCACATGCACACACCCACACACTTCCAGTCCACTGTATATTTATTGAACCAAAACCTAATGTAGTGTCTGTACTGGTACTCAGTATCAACGGGTACTGACACATACACACATACTCGTTACCTACAGGTAACTAGACACACACACATACACAGGTCATGTTTATGAAATAACCTCACGTGCACTTCTTTACATGCTACACTGTGTGTATGTGTGTGTGTGTGTGTGTGTGTGTGCACCGTCCGACCCGTGGCTCTCAGCAGAGGCCAGCGTCTGTTGTGGAGCCCTCTAATGGAGGCCCAGCTGGAGTCAGGCACACACAAGGGCAGCCAAGGTCACTGGCACTGCCTCCAAGGACCCCATCATTTGGCAGAGCTGCAGCTCGGTCTGCTCTGCTCCCTGTACGTGTGTGTGTGTGTGTGTGTTCGTCTGTAGGAGACGCTGCTGCTGTTTTCTTTATGTTTCAACTCTGAAGGCTGTGAAACGACCAACGTTTCTGATCAGATTAATCACAGTAGCTGTGGAATTATCACAATTAATCATTCATTGACATGTAATTAATCTGGATTAATCTGGATTAATCTGGATTAATCCACATTCTTGTTCTTTTTTTTCCTTCTGTAAGATTAGCTGGAACATAAAGACCAACAACATCAACTAGGTGTCAGTGTTTCTCACCGATGTTTATTTGTGACTAATGCGAACGATGGAATTATCAACATGGAACAACGTCAGAGATGTCGCGAAGGCGAAACTGAAAACTCAATTCACGAAACCGAAAAAAAAAACAATGTGTATTGACCGTGTGTTAGGACAACAGTGAGTGGACAGTGGAATTATGGGATGTTCAGTCGTTCTGACCATGGGTTGAACCCATTAGAAAACGTAATCTCATTAATCTTGACATATTATTTAAGGCCTTTGATGCTTTAATGTGAAGCCGCGGTACGTTTGTGTTCTAGACCAGCGGTCCTCGACCGTTACTGTACCATGGACCGGTCAGCCAGTACCAGCCGTTAATGGTGGACCGGTAATACCACGCCATCGCTGAAGGATCATTATATTTTCTGTTAGTATCGTAACGAGTGGCGCTTTGGCCCAGAGGCAATGTCTCTGTCATTGGTGTGGAACCCCAGGGTTCACCTCCTGGGCAAGTTCGAATCCCGGTTAGGGCGGTTGGTACCTTCCAGTGGACTCACCACCCGCAGGAAGGTTTGGTACGGTGCAATGTGATTTGGGTGGCGACTGCTGCCCCCGCGACCCGGTAACGGATAAGCGGATGAAAATGGATGGATGGACATATAAACTACATAATTAATAAAGTTATAACTTTGAATACATAACTACATTGCAGTGTTTTATCTGAATAAGCGTCGACATGACGTATATCGTATATGTTTTCCTTTAAATCAAAGATTTAAATTTCCCTTCCCCTGCCTCCAAATGATTGTTTGCTCTGTGTGTAGTTGTATATTTGAGCCACTAGAGGGCGCATGACTATAATCTCGTCGCGGGAGAACCCCTGGAATATCCAGGGAAGAAGAAGACACTTCTACGTCTTTGTCATTTGTGTGGTTGTATGCTTGGGACTGGTAATACCGCGCCATCGCTGAAGGATCATTATATTTTCTTTTAGACTTTGTTCTGTTAGAGTCTGAATGACCTTTGACCTGTTGTTCTGAAACATCGACAGATGATCTTTGAATGAAAACAGTGACCATGATATGACCGGTACAGAACGACCTATGGACCGGCACCGGGCCCCGGACCTCAGGTTGGGTACACTATTCTACAGTATTATATTTGAATGTTGTTTGTTGTTTATATTTGAACAAACCCAGGTGTGTTGAACGACAGGGAACAACATGTGCCGTTTAAGGAATGTTCCTTTGTTTGGTTTCAGTACAAAGTACTAGTACAAAGTACTGAAAGTACTGAAAGTACTGTATGGTTTCTGTCCTCTGTGTTTTTGCTTCATTGCACAAACACAGAGTATGGTCTTTAAGTATGGACTCCATTAAAATAAGACTTTTGACTCGATCCTGTTTGCACTGAATCCCAGGTTTAAGTCCTCGCCCTGCGCCTGGTTCTGATGTTGATCAAATTAACCGGTTTAGATTAACCACGAGAACGGAGCGGTGAAGAGGACGTGGCCAATGAACACCAGTGTCTAATCTTCCTCCACCATCTATTCATCCCTGTCTGGCGTTGTGGGTTTGATGTGTACACTCAGCTCTGTGAGACACACAGACACCGAGGGAGTGAACTCCAGACTCGTGTGTCTTGTGTGGTCCGGGTTTTTGATCTCCCATGCAGGCGGCTGCAGGACCTGAAGCGCCGAGCATCAAAGAGAATTCCAGAGCTGATCACCGTTAGTCCCGACTTGAAGACTTGAACTTGCCATGTTTGGCCGACATACCGCTGCTTGATTCACGTGTTCAAGAAGAACTGAAAACTAGTGAAGTTACGATACATCGGGAATCGGTTAAAAATCCATATAAATCCGTGACAATTCTCACTGGTTGAAATGCAAAATAAATCAAGGTGTAAGGAGTCACTGGTCAGACCATGACACTACACCCTCCAGTCCAGTAGGTGGCAGTATGCTCCTAAAAACCCACTATCAAACCCAGACGTCAGGTCTCTACGTAGGCTGAGAGACGTTCAGGTGTTGGAACAGAACGTGGGAAGAACGTGTTCCACAGACACCAACAGTGTTCTCCAGTGGAACTCTTTCCACTTCCTGTTGTTTCTCTTCTTCTTCTGTTGTTGTTTCATATATTGACAGTTAACCAGGTCAACCAGACCAGACCAGTTTGACCAGGTCAACCAGACCGGACCAAAACAGTGCCGACAACAGTCACCTATAAAACAACACTGACAACTTTGTTGCTCGTCTTCAAACTGATCTCAAGAACAAAATGTTCCTTTAAATCCAGTAATGTAAACAACCAGAACCTTCCTTTTCAAATATCTCAACAGTCTGAAATAAATAAGTTTAGAACATGTTGTCGTACATTCTCAGTTTTGTCGTCTGCAGACATTCGTCCAGATTTCCAGGACTGAAGGGTTTTTTTCTGGTACTTTTCTTTCTCTGCCGTAACGATCATAATTAATTCTTTCACATGTTTCATCGAATCTCACTTTATAAAAACACTGCTCTGAATTCCTTATGCAGATTAAACTTTACAACTGGGCGACGAGTTTTTGTGGAAGTTTGAAATAAATATCAACTTTTAAATGTTATGACCTCTTATTGCGCCTTCTTTTGTACCCATCTGCCCCTCACCCGCACTTCTGTCACTGTGTCATTTAACATTTCTCTGTCTGGTTCTGTTAGTTTCAGCATCACGTCACACGTAACAAAGCCCCAGAGGGCGCTGTTGTTGAGAGATCTAGGCATGGAAAAAAACTAGAAAAAAAAACAGTTTGGACTAAAACAGATTTTTCAAAAACATTCACGGTCGTAGTTCATGTGTGTTCTTTATGACTCCAATGATCAATTATTAGAAATGACCAAGTGATTAACTGAAGCCACTGAAGACCAACTGAGGACCAGTGACCTGAGCTGCTTGTTTCTAAGCTGTAAAAAAAAGGCTGTTCGTTAAACCTCTCTGCTCTGAGTGGCGTAAATGAAATGAAAAAAAAAACAAACAAACAAAAACAAACCACACTAAAGACTGACCTTCACTGACCGGCCTTAGAATCTGATGTCATGGAAACATCTGGTCCAACCAATCACATCCTTTGCTGAGATCATTTCCAATCCTGATGCAGTTTAAAGTTGGTCCGTTGTTATTTCCCAGATACAGTGTTGTGTATTTCGTAGAGAACTGACTCACAGAAATCACCAGAGAAGAAAGAAAAGAAAAAGAAAATGAACCAACACCAGGAATATTGGACTGGGAATTGGGGAGAAAAAAAATCAAGAACTGATCAATGACTGAGGAGATTGATACGGGATCAGGAGAGACTTCAGTGTAGTGGATGTTTTCATACACCTCTAGTGAACAGACAGGAGTGAAGTTACTGGGAGTTGATGATGGGACTTTAAATGGTACGTTTTCCAGCAGTGTGTGTAAATAACAACGTGTCAAGACGTGAGAAGACGAGGAGTGAACGGATCTATTAGATATCCATGTCTGTCCCTGCATTAAAAGAATAACTTTGACAAACTCATTAATGTGATGATTTACTATCGACTTCAGGCCACAGAACCTTTAGCTTACGATCACGACATGAACCGCGAACGTTCACACAAACGTTCACCAAAGGAAATTAAAGTATGTCTCGTTAACGGAAACTGTGACATCACTTGAAGTAATCAGCAGATTCCATCCTTCATCCTGTACATGATCCAGACTGAAGTCAACATAAGGCTCCCTCTCTCTCTCTCTCTCCCTCTCTTTCTCTCTCTCCCCCTCCCTCCCTCTCACGTTCCTTGGTCAACCTTTTTCTCCCCTGATTGGAAGCCTTGACACAGAACTCTCAGACAGGTCTGTAAAGTATGTGCGTTGTCCTACTGCAGTGCCCCGTGTGGTGGTCAACTGCCTCTGATCTATCAACTTCCTGTATATCCGGCACGGCGTCCGACTGTGAGACCAAAGGTCAGACTGACTTTTACAGGATCCTGTTGGGTTCGTCATGAACCTGAGCCCAGGGGGCGCTGTTGAATGTGAGGGAGAAGAAATCAGGAGCGAGTCGGATGAGGTGGTAAGAAGGTGTCCCTAGAGGGCGCCGAGTGGTGTCTGGAGCTGAGATCAATGGACACGTTGGTGAACGAAGGTGACAAGGAGGTGGCGAGGAGATATGATGTAAGAGCTGGGAATACAGGAAGGGGAACGAAATGGAGGGGGGGGGCTGGAGGAGGGGGGCAAACACGGGTGGATTGTATCGTGTTCAGGGACCGCCCTCTGAAAGACCCCTGAGACTGTCAGGTGGTGTCATGGGAAGGTGGTGCTAAGCAGCTTAGGATGATCGGTGTGTAGGAGAGTGTTGACGTATTAGTACCAGGATACTGTGACGGGAAGGTCAGCAGAGAACTAGTACTGCAGTTTTAACTCTGAACATTAGGAGCGCTGTAGAGAAGTATCCAAATGCCAGTTAGATGAGTCAGGTGTGCAGTCAGAGTGACAGATGTGTTCAAGTTTAAGGGTGGTGCTGCATAAAGAATCAGTCGTGAGCCTTCGTTGCTATGGTGATGGACCGGTTGACGGAGTAGGTCTGATGTTTGCAGACGACGTTGTAATCTTTGGTGGAGAGGGTCAACAAGAGCACAACAGCAAACGAGTGTGTAAACGAGAATGACGCAAGCTAACGGGAAGCTGCAAGGAGCGCAGGAAGTGGGAAAGACGGCGGGTTTGAGGAATATTAGCATGTTGGAGTAGCAATGCAGGAGGCAGGGGACATTACGACATCTGTCATACCCTGTCGCAGAGTTCTAGAGGCAACAAGTCATTTTCAGACTCGCCGTCTCAGGAGATCCCTGACCTTCTGTTTGGAAGACAACTAGCTTTGTCTTCTGACACAGCTGCTCCTCGTAGTCAGAGGAGTTTATTAGTCTGGGATTCTTTCTCCCAACGAGTCATTTGTGAAGAGCGACTCCAAAGGCCAGCTTTTTTAAAACCAAAAATGACCGCAGGAGCAGGCGATGACGGGGGCTGGTGATGAGGTGATGAATCCAAACTGGTTGGACAGAATTGGACAAAGGTTGGACAGAGGAAGACGTCGTCGTCGTAGTTGAGATCGGGTCTCAAAAAGACAAAGACACTCAGAGATTCGTGTTCAGGCAGACAGTGGAATAACAACGGGCTGATAACGGCTGTGAATCAGGCAGAAGAGTCAGCCATTAACGGAGAACAGCAAGAGTCCCAATTAATGAAGCCGTTCTTATACACACAGCAGGGGGCAGTGGTGTTGATGAGGGGCCGCGGGAGTGTTGATGAGTCGATGAGAGGAAGGAACCCTCACCCACACACCTACAACAAAGGCCCAGTGAAAGACCGGCGATACAGGAAGTTAAATGACTGAAAGTCAACAATCGTTATAACTTAGAACCTTAACGACTGACGGAATTAGAACTCATCACCGTGTTGTGAAGAACATCCTCCAATTATGACGTCAAGAGGAATGAACGAATCACCTCACACTGAAGGTTTCCAGCCAGGTACTGTCCAGGACTAATCATCATCATCATCATCATCATCACCATTATCTTCATCATCATCACCATCATCATCATCTTCATGATCATCTTCATCATCATCATCATCTTCATCATCATCATCTTTATCATCGTCACCATCATCATCATCTTCACCATCTTCATCATTACCATCATATTCATCATCATCTTCATCATTACCATCTTCATCTAGATGTTTGAATTAGTCACAAATAAAAACAGGTGAGAAACAGTGACACCTGCTGATATGTGTTTTTGTCGTTGCATAAATAAATATAGAGAAAAACAAAGTTTTTAGGAATTTCACAAAGTTCATTACAATTACAAAGTTCTGTCTTATTTCCATGTCGAACCTTTTTCTTTTTCTGATCCCATTTCTTTGTCAGCTTCACTGGTTCATGCATCATAAATTTACCCAACGCTGTTCCTGAACACACGACCTCTGGCTGGACTACAGCACCAGACGTCCGATCACTCGGCCCGTACACACAGCTGTGCATTTGACCAGACGTCTGTTTGACATTCCTGTCAGATCCCGTCCCTGGTGGTGTGTCACTGATCCTCGATCAGGATTCTATTCATGCCACTGTGGCTGCATGGTATCGAACTGTTCCGAGTCAAGAACCTCACCCGTGTTCACTCTCACTGCAAAGCTGTATTTGACTGTGGATATATTAGCGCTGTCACGTGTCGTACCCTGTGGTTCACTAATGCCACCCGCTACCTTACTTTGAGCTTCGTCCGTTAAACATGTACCAGCTTTTTCCGGACTATAAGTCGCTCCGGAGTATAAGTCGCACCAGCGCCCTCTAGCGACTGTCAGCGGGAAAATAACAAACGTATATTTTCAGTGGCACAAGAGTAGCAGATGCCGGTACATGAGTCTAGAGTGCCCTCTAGCAGCTGTTAGCGGTAAAATAACAACGGTGACATTACATATTTTAATTCATAAGTCGGACCGGAGTATAAGTCACAAAGATGAAAAAAGAAGTGCTGCTTATAGTCCGGAAAGTACGGTTCATTAAAAAAAAAAAAAAAATCACTAAAATATTTCTGTGTCGGTTCTCCGTCGTCCAGGTCATTTAATCCAAAAATAGTTACATCGAGAGCAACTGGACGAAGTAGATTTTTTGTTTTTGTGTGTGGATGAGAGATGAAAAAAAAACCTACTTCGTCCAGTTGCTCTCGATGTAACTATTTGTCAGACTGGTTTTGTGCCTGTTGGACACCAGTCAAACACCATCAACCAATCAATCACTTCCTGTGGAGCAGACAACGCAACAATCGTTGATTTTAATGTGAAATAATTCATAGAATTTAATTTTAGTTAAAACAATTGAAGGAATTCAAAAAATAAAACCTAAAAAAGTCCGATGAGTGTCCAGTTCAGGGAGGACCAATCAAACGTGTTCCCTCCTCTCAGAGGTTTGAGATGATTCCGTTACATAACAGGAGGTGAAATTATGGTAAAAAAAAAAAAAATCAGGTCAAATCTTTGCCGTCAACACTAGGTTGAAGACGGGGTTTATTTGGAGATGAACCAGAATTGGGTCATGTGAATATTCAGATTTACACATAAAGAACGGGAGATAA